GGCGCCAGACCCCCCTCGCCGTGCAGAGCCCGGGAGTGCGGGCTGCCAGCCCCGCGGCGCTGGGGTCAGGCCTGGGGGCACGTTTCCTTCAGGGCCTTTTCCTGTCCGTCCCTTGCCGCCCCGGGAAGAGTGGCCTTCCCCAAGCCCCCAAGTGACAGCAACGGCCGGGCAACACCCCACGCTGATGGGGGGCCCTGTGGGCCCGGACAGACCGGTCGCCCGCCCGGAGACGTGGGTCAGGCAGGGGGTGGACTTGTAGCGGGGAGAGCTCTTGTTACGGAGGAAACCCCCCAGGCACGGGGCAGGGCCGGCGCTGCACTCTGGAGGCCGGGGTTGTACAACAGCCCTGTCATGGACCTTAGCCGAGAACTGGAGCAGGGCTTTACCAACCTGGAGGTCATTATAGACATGGAGAACGTCATTATGGACCCAAGGAAGGTCATTGCAGACCTGGAGACAGTCCTTATAGACCTAGACAAGGTCGTTATAGACCTGGAGAAGGTCATCATAGAAGTAGAGCGAGCGATCATAGACCTGGAGAAGGTTATTTCAGAACTAGAGACACTTATTATAGACCTAGAGAAAATGATCATAGACCCGGCAAAAGTGATTACAGACCTAGAGAAAGTTACTGAAGAACTAGAGAAAGGTGTACAAGAATTACAGAGAATGATGAAAGCGAGAGACGTGCCTTACGGAAGAACATGTAAACGGTGACACTTTACTGTGCAGTAAATTTACCGCACCAGAGACTAATCTGCTGCACAGTTAATGCCCTGCATGTGTAGACAGTGACGCTTTACGGTGCTGTAGATTAGTCTACTGTGCAGCAAAGTGTTTTGGGTCGACAGGGCCAGAGAGAGTTATGGAAGGACGAGAGACCTGGGCTCTGTCCCTGCGGTGAGGGGGGCGTGGGGGCTGGGAGGACCCCGCACGCCTGGGATCTCTCCCCACTCGGGGAAGGGAGGGTGCGGGTGAGCAGGTAGACAGATGGATGAGAACGGACAGACAGGTGGACAGGTAGGACAAGTAGTGAGATGCGGGGGGTGGGAGCGCGTGGGGCAGACAGACAGACACACGCCGGCCTGTTCTGGGAAGGGTGCTGAGGACATGGGCCCGTCACAGCCCCTGGGCCCGGGGCAGCCACAGGATGTCTCGGTGGCAGCGTGTCATTAGCAGTGATGGATGGGCCTGTGCCTGCAGGCCCCGCCGGGGGGCGGGGATGGACACGGCCACTCCCGCCTGTCGGCGCCCCCGGGGCTGGAACTGCAGCTGCACCGCGCTGCCCAGGAACTGTCTGGCCGTCCCCAGCGGGCCCCGCGCTCCGCCGTTCCCTGCTTGTCCCAGCTGTTCTCTATCCAGCTTGTCTGTCTGTCTGTCCTCAGCTTCTCCCCCTCACCCACCGTCTGTCTGTCTACCCAGGTGGCCCACCAGCCGCTTGCTCCTTCCTTCCTTCCTTCCTTCCTTCTGTGGTTCCTCTCACCCTGCCGCACTTTCACCTTCTGTTTTCACATTTTTAAGATGTCCAAGCCTCCCCCACCCGCCCATGGCAGCCCCCAAACGCGGGGCCACTTCTGCTGTGAGAGAAGCGAGAGACAGACCCCCGGTGCCGGGGGACACTGGGTGCCCCCCCCCCGGTCTCCCCTTGGCCCAGGTGGGGGGGGAGGTGCCCGTGTCACTGCTGGGCTCTTCAGGGTTGATCATGGTTGAAGTGCTGGGCGGTGCCCCAGCGGAGGGGGGGCATTGGGTGGGAGCGGCAGGATCTGGAAGGCCGGACACCCGGGTTCTCCCTGCTCTGGGAGGGGAGCGGGGCCAGGCGAGCTAGGAGGACTGGCTCTAGGTGCCCAACACCTGGGTTCCCGCCCCAGCTCTGGAAGGGGCGTGGGGCCCAGCAAGTCTGAGCAGGGGGAGCTGGGCGCCTGGACACCTGGGTTCCTCCCCAACCAGCTAGGGGTACTGGGGGGTCAGGGAGGTTCGTTAATTAACAAAGTGCTGGCGTGACCAGTGAGGGGTTTACACATTAATCCAGGCCCAGCTGTTCCCTGCCTGCCCCCCCCCCCCCCCCCCGGGGGTCAGCAGGGAGGTGGTCACGTGCGCACACGTGTGTGCCCGGCAGGTACAGGCTGTTCGGTTCCGTGTGGCTGGCAGTGCCCACAGCGGGCAAAGGCCAACAGCTCCCCCCAGGCTGCACCAGGCCGGAGATGACCAGCGCCGGCTGCTCCTTTCCTGTTTCGGAGGCCGTGGCGGGGACTGGGGGTGGCGGGACAAGGGGTAACGGCCCCCCAGGGTCCCACAGGCCTGGGTTGGGCCCGAGCCTACATTGTCCGGACCTGGCGCATCGCCAGTGGCTTGTTATGCTCATCAGCGCTGGCGATGAGGCCCCCGCCCAGCCCGTGGGGGTACTGGGACCAGCCCCTGCTCCCAGCACCACCCAATTGGAGGCCCAGACGCCTGGGTTCTCTGAGATCAGAGGGGCTGGGGGGCGAGAGCAGGGGGGCTGGGAGCCTGGATGCCTGGGGTCTCTGGGATCAGAGGTGGGCTAGCACTGGGACGGGGAACCTGGACACCTGGGTTCACTGGGAGGGGAAGGGGCTGGGGGGTGAGAGCTGGGGCCTCAGGAGCCTGGACGCCTGGGTTGTCTGAGATCGGTGGGGGGGGTCCGGACACCTGGGTTCCCTCCAGCTCTGGGACAGGCCCACCGAGATGAGGCCAAGGTCATGGGCGACACCAGAGGAAGCACACAGGTGTCCCCACTCCCTGGCTCTGGCCTCACCACAGCTCCGCCCTTCCTCCCCGCCAGCGCCTCGGCCCCTACATCCTGCCCACAGGCGGTTCTCTCTTCCCGCCCGGCCCCAGCCCCAGGGTCAGCCCTGTCCATCCCTGCCCCTGCAGACCAGGCATTGCCTCCTTCACTGAGCTTCTAGGACAAGGTCGCCAGCTTCGGCAGCCAAATGCCCTCCCGGAACCCCTACTTGCCCACCCCCCACCGCCTTTCATCTCCCAGGGAGGCTTTTATTTCAGGAAGGATGAAAGGAAAAGGGACAGACAAGGTAAGGGCAGGCAAAGGGGATCCGAAGCCTCGGGCCAGGCCCAAGAGCTCATGTGTGAGGCCAGGCCCTGGTAAACCCCTCGTCCCCATCGTGGGGCACTCGGCGCTGGTGCCAGGACCGAAGGGAGGGCAAGGGAGTTGTTGCCCGGGAGCCCGGCTGGGTCTGCCACAAGCACAGCTGGGGACGGGGGCGGCTGTGCTTCTCTCGCCATCCTTGGCCTCGCCGCTGGCATCGTTGTCATCAGCAGCATCCTCCACCTCATTGTTCTCGCTGCCGGTGTTGTTCCTACCCCGGTGCCTCAGGCACGGAATTGGAACCCAGGGACCCAGGTGCTGTATGTACACACGCACACACATACACATACACCACATGCACGCACGCGCACACACGTGAACATGCATACACATGTTCGTGCACACACGTATACACATGTATGCACACACCCACATGTGCAAATGTACATGCACGTGTGCACACACTCCCAAGTGTACACACACACATGCACATCCACAGCCACATGTGCGCACACGCACACACATACGCGTACATGTGCACCTCGTCTGGCTATGCCCTTAGGCCAACATAGCTGCAACAAACAACCTTACACACACACACATGCACACACATGCACACACATACACACGTATGCACATGCATGCGTGCACACATGCCCACATGTGACAGACGCACACACAAGCCCATGTACATAAACACATATGCACATGCATGCACCCCCACACAAGTGCATACCCATGCGCGCGTGCGCACATACACACATCCCTTATGGCTTTGCCTTTTTCAGGAAATTTTCTCCCTGAAAAAAGGCGCTGGCCTTTGTGAGGTCCAAGTCCCTGCCACGGGAGCCAGCATGGGAGCCCAGCGTCTCTGTCTTGGTCTCCCTGTAACAGGAACCCCTGGGCTTGGTCTGTGCTGCACGGCATGGCCTGGGGGGACACAAACCCCTGCCTGGCTCCAGCAAAGCACCTGGGGGTTTTCCAGGCACTGTCTATCTCAGGCTGCTGGGCCCAGCTGGTGCCACATGGGGCTGGGAGGGAAGCTCCTGCAGCGACCAGGCTGGGCCTGTGCCCCTGCTAGGACTCAACCCCGGAGCAGCCTTTTGTGGCTCCCATAGGTCTCACTGGGGCCACCATGAAACCTCGAACTGCAGGACAGGCAGACAGGATGCGCTGCTCAGGGGCCAAGGAAGGATACTGGCAATGTCGCCTGTTCTCAGGCTACCGCAGCCACCCACGGGTGGAGAACGACCAGACAGACAAACAGGGGGATGGACGGACAGTGCAGCCATCCTGTAACTGGAGGGAGGGATGGGTTGGGGTCTGGCTGGCTGGATGGTTGGGTGGGTGGGTGCCAGGGTGGCTGGATGTATGTGTGCATGGGTGGATTGGTGCACGGGTGACTGCCTGGATGGATGGAGGGAGGTATGGATGGATGAGCAGGTGTATACACTGGTGGGTGGCTGGATCAGTGAGCAGGTGGGTAGATGGATGGGTGAGTGGCTGGCTGGCTGGATAGATGGATGGATGGATGGGTGGGAGGCTAAACGGATGGATGGGTAGTTGGGTGGGTGGGTAGACGAGTGTGTGTGCAGGTGGCTGGCTGGGTGGCACAGCCAGGTTCAAAAAGGGGCCAGCCCGATTCTCAGCACCCGGCTCCACTCCTGGCTTTGGAACGAGGTGGAGACAGTGTCGCTGGCATCTCCAACCCTGTGGCAGCAGCTGCCAGGGGGGTGCTAGAGACGAGCTGGATTGTGCCAACACTCCTGGACCCCTTAGCCCTCCGGGGCGCAGCCCCGACCCTGCTGGAGTTTGCAGAGACCCTGAAATGTCTGGGGAAGATGAGGCAGAGGGGGGTGGGACTGAGAGCTGGACCCCCACTGGGGCTGCCAGATGGCCCAACCCCACTCCTCCATGGCCCCTGCCCCACCTCAAAACCCCTGCCCCCCAGCCACTGCCTGGGCCCAGACAGCACAGGATGGGGACCACTTTTAGCCCAGGGTGAGGTCCACGGCTGGGCCCAGAGGGTCTGTCAAACCCCACCACCACCAGAGCCTGGCAAGAACCCAGACATCCGGGCTCCCAGCCCCCTCTGCTCTGGCCCCTACTGCCCTCCTCCCCGGGCTGGGAGACAAACCCGGCATCCAGCTGGCAGGGCCCCAGGGCCCTTCCCCCCACCCTGGGAACGCCGGGCTCCCTCCCCGCTTCCCTCCGTCTCCATTTACTTTCTCAGCTCCCTGGGTTTTCCCTTGTCAGCACCTGGGCCTCGTCCAGCCCCAGTGCAAACACCCAGTGGCCGGAGGGAGGGGTCAGCACTGGCCCTGCCCCACCCACTGCCCTGTCCCCACCCCACCCACTGCCCTGTCCCCCCTGCCCCATCCACTGTTCTCATCTCTGCCCCGTTGGCTGCTCCGCTCTCCGCCCTGTACTCCCTGCCCCACCTGCTCCATCCATTGCTCTATTCTCCTCTCTCTGCCCTGGCCCCCCAGCCCCATCCACTGCTCCACTCTCCGCTCCCTGCCCTAGCCCCCCTGCCCCATCAGCTACTCTCATTTCTACTCCATCCGGTGCTCCGCTTTCCACTTGCTGCCCTGGCTCCCCCTGCCACATCTGCTGCTCTGCTCTCCACTGCCCACCTGCTTCTCTCCCTGTTCTGAAAAGGGAGGCAGGGGTCTTCCAGGCTTAGGGCAGGGAGGCCAGGGAGCCTGGACACCTGGGCCCCACTCTCACCCTGAGCTCAGGGAGCGGGGTCAGGTAGGTGGAAGCCAGGCACCCAAACCTGGGTGGGGGGCAGCAGGGCCTGGGAGTGAGCGCAAACGGAGGGGGCTGGGAGCCCAGATGGCTGGGCTCTCTCCAGCTCTGGGTGGGCAGTGGGGCCTGGTGGCTTGGAGCAAGAGGTGCTGGGAACCTGGACACCTGGGTTCTCTGCCCTCAGGGGGGGAGGGGAGGGGGGGGAGCGGATCTGGGCATCCCGGTCCCGGAAGTGGAGCAGGCCCGACCCCGTGGCCTTGGAGGCTCCACAAGTGCCCCATTGTCTGCCCCGAACCGGCTGGACCGGCCCTGTCAGCTCAGCCTTGGCCTGATGGGGGCGGGAGGGAGGGGGTGGGGGGAAGCCACACAAGGGCAGCTCTATGCCCTTGCGTCTGAGCCCCTGCACCGCCCAAGGAGAGTCCCTGGGGCTGGGCCCAGCACAGCTGGGGTCACCCTGAATTCCCGGCTTCCTTCCCGGATATCCAGGCCACCCCTCCCCACTGTAACTACCCAGCCTGACTACCCTCCCACACCCGGAGAGAACCCAGGCATCCAGCTCCCAGCACCCACTGCTCCAACCCCCAGCCCTCCCCGAGCTGGAGAGAACCTAGGTGTCCTGGCTCCCAACTCCCCCGTGCTCCGCCCACCAGGCCCCACTGCCCTCCCCGAGCTGGAGAGAACCCAGGCGTCCCTGGCAGCCCCCCACCCCACCCCACCCTCCAGCCCCACTCCCTGAGGCTCTGGCCTCCCCGCTGCATGCTGGAGGCCGGTACCAGGTCCCGCTGCAGCTGGACACCTGGGCTCTCTGCCCTCGCACGGCCCAAGGACTGACCCCTGGGGCCCGGAACACCTGGGCTCAATCCGGCAAGGGCAGGCTGGGGAGGTCACAGCAGGGAGGCTGGGAGCCCAACGCCTGGGTTCTCTCCAGCTCTAGGAGGGCAGTGGGGCCCATGGGGTTCGAGCAAGAAGCTCCCAGACAATGGGGTTCAGTCCCAACCCTCTCCATGCTATAGCCCCCTCTGCGGGGACATGGGCAGTGCCTGTGAGGCCCCACTTGCCCCCTGGGCATAAATAGGGCTGGCACAGGCCCCTCTGCCCCTTCCCTCCCCCAGGAACAACGATGGACCAAGGCTCAGAAACTCTCGTCCTATCCTAGTAAGGAGTTGCCCACTGGTGTAGTCTCTAGGTTCCAGAGTGAACAGGTGAAGCACCGGAGTGAACAGGATGAGTCAGTAGGTTACAGAGTAAAAAGGGTAGTCATTAGAGCCCAGAGTGAACAGGGCCGAAGCAGCTCTCACACCCCGTTTGGCCCCTGGCACTCACTCACACGTGTGCAGGAGACGTGTGAGCAGTGGCCTGGATCCAACCCCCTCCCCCAGGGCCCATGGGGGAGGCCTTGAAGCTGCTTCCAGAAGCCCCTGGAGCCTACGGGGACAGGTGCAACAGACAACGCCCAGATAAGGGGATGCCTGGAAGCTGCCTCCCTCAGCCCGTACCAAGCCCGGGGCAGGGCCAAGCCAGGGGCGGCTGAGGATGCTCCCTGCCAGCCGCAGGGGAAGGGTGTTTCTCTCTCCTCCCCTCACCCCCTCAGGGAGACAAATTCAAGGAAATTCGGAGCGGCAATTCCCAGCCAGCTGCACCAGGGCCCTTTGGGGAGATCTGAACCCTGCCCCAGGGCCTGAGATGGGAGCCTCCACCAGACTGGGGCGGGCGGGCGGGCGGGGTGTAAGGGGGGGGGG